ACAAATCATTAGCAAGCAGGACTATCTCTGGAGGTTGGATTAAGGAAGAAATTGTTTTCATTGTTTCCAGTTTTCGTTTCCTAATTGATACATGAATCTGTTTTGTTACTATCTTTCTCACTGGAACAAGCCAAATTAGGAAAATTTGATTGAGCTCAAGTCTCCCTTGACGGCACTCTTGGTTTTTCCAGGATTTGAGTTTAGGGTGATTTCTTCAGACTTTTATGCTTTTACATGTCTTTGTATGTAAGCGTATATGTGCTGTGTAGTTTGGGTGGAGGGGGATGTTGTTTCCAAATAAGTGGTATCATACTGTACCCGCCGCTAGTTCCTTTGACGTCATGACATGTTTTGAGATCTACCAGCCTTGATGTGTGTATGTCCACAAGATCCTCCGTGATTCTTAGCGAGGACACCCCCAGCTTCCAAGCAGGACACTTTGCACTTGTTTCAGGTCTGCACTTTTCTTTTTGGGAGCTAAGCCTTCTTGACACGCCCCTCACTCTCCCTCACAAAATACGGAAGCACCTGATTCCTTGGCCTCGTTATTTGGCAATCCAGTGTTCTCCACACGTTTTCGCTTTCGGTTAACTTTTTACATCATTGTATTCTATGAGCTCTCACCTTTATCATTTCTCTGTTGGTACATATTTAGCGTGGCTCCAAATTTTTACTCTCACAAACAAAGTTTGCAGTAAACACCTTTGTTCATACTTCCTTCTGCTTCTGGGTGAGTGTTCACAAAGCGGACGCTGGCACATGTCCATGTTCGGTTCAAGTGTGCTACACTGCCCTCCACCTTATACCCTTACCGACAGTAGGTGCTAATATCCATTGCCCTGGATTCCTCAAGACTTAATGCAGTCTAATTCTTCAATTTTAACCAATCAGGCAAATAAAGAAAATATCACAGTTGTCTTAATTTGCATTTCTCTGCCTACTATTGAGACTATCTGAAATACTTATTTCCTCTTTTGTGAAAGACTTTCGCTTTCTCTTCTGTATGTGTACATATTTTAATTTTTACTCCATGTGCTTTATGATCAGAAAAAGTAATATGCATGTTAAAAAGTAACTTACACGTCCTCCAAGGCCTACTTAGATATTGACTCCTTCAAACAACAGTCTTGATCTTTCTTCCTGCAACCATTCTCTTCAACATAGTTTGCACGGTACTTGTCTTGTCCCTTGACTAATTAATGGAGCCTAGACTGGGGTTCCTCCATTTGTGGTCCCTTTGACCTGCCTACTGCAATGTCTTGTGCAATGCTCTGTGCAGATTTGAAGCTTGATAAATAAAGATTTGAATGATAGAAGGTAGAGAAGGTTGATTATAGGAAAACTACCAACTTTATTTTCAACCTTTAGCTCTTCGAGGACACGGTCTTGAACCATCCTTACCAAAAGTGGACATATTCCTAAAAAGGACATGTAATGTTATTTGGATCTAGAGTCATTTCCCTGGAAGATATGCTCATCAAAATTTCTAGGAAAGGAATACTTAGCTCAACTAAAAGAGGAAGGTCAGATATTTGTGCAAGGGCTCTTGGCGGAATGAGGATCCCATCACCCCACAGACATCATGAAGTGTAGGAGGCTGCCTGGCAGTTTCTGTCTCAAGTTAGCCCATGCCCAGGACTCCATAGAACCCACCACATGGCAACCAAGCTGACTGAACCAAGCTGCCACCCAGAAATTAACGTGTGCGGAGATGTGTCAAATTAGAGCGTGGTGTGATCCTCCTTGCTTATACTCAAGTATTCTTATGTGTTTCTGATACATAGTAGTACTTAAAAGATTACCATTAAGAAGTTCTTAGTAAAAACTGCCCCCCAGCTTTAATTATCAGAAAAATTCTGTAAATGTTTTAAACACAAACTTCAGATCTCACTGAAAAGAATCCAGAGGAATGTTCAAATCTTTTATGTTTTAGAATTTTGTTGATCAAGTTTCATCACTTCAAATCCAAATAAGCAATCTATTGGTCCAAACTGAATCTTATGCCAAAATGTTCATCCTAAAATTAATTATTGGCATAATGTATCTAAGAAACGTGTGACCCTGGGGCACTTGGGTGACTGAGTCAGTTAAGCGTCTGACTTTGGCTCAGGTCATGATCTCACCGTCAGTGAGTTCTAGCCCTGTGTGGGGCTCTGTGCCGACAGCTCGGAGCCCGGAGCCTGCTTCAGATTCTGTGTCTTCCTCTCTCTCTCTCTCTCTGCTCCTCCCCCACTCACACTCTGTCTCTCTCTGAAAAATAAACATTAAAAAAACAAAACAAAACAAAAGAATATGCGACCTTGTGGAAATTTCACCCATCAAAAAGAATTGGAATTTTGGCTGTAGCCAAACCTGAGGTTTTTTATAGCTTCATTTTTAATTCCTCCAATTGTTCTTTTTTCATTGAGGTATAACTGTCATACAATATTGTATTAATTTCCTGTTCTAATTGTTCTTTGAAAGCATTCTGTAATGAGAATATTTGAATTTGTCAGCTAATCAGCTCAAAATGAACGGACTGCTTTATTCATAACTAACTTAGTGGGTTTTCTTATAGAATGCTTCTCTCCTGGGGCACCTGGGTGGCTCAGTCAGTTGCGAGGCCAACTTCGGCTCAGGTCATGAACCTGTGGTTCATGAGTTCAAGCCCGTTGTCAGGCTCTGTTTTGATATCTCAGAGCCTGGAGCCTGCTTCGGATTCTATGTGTCTCTCTCTGTGTTCCTCACCTGATCATTCTCCATCTCTCTGTCTCTTTCTTAAAAATAAAAAACAAAAGAAATGTTTTTAATGTTTCTCCTTGCCATTGCTTTGAGCTAGAAGATACATTTCTAATACAGGACAGAGACCTCTGTGTCCCCACAGAGGAAATATGCTAAAGAAACATACATTAGGAAATGCAGATTTAGGAACCAGATAGCTTGGAGACCTCTGTTAGAAACTTCCTTCGTGGTCTTTCGTGTACTTTTTATTATCAGGCTGACGTTTCATGCCATAGGGATGCGACATTAGATGCCAGTGTGGTTCGTAAGAGCAGGGTCCCTCAGCCTCAGAACGGGGCTCTCCCTTGAGAGAGCCCTTGAGGTTCCTGTACACTACACATCCCTCTTCAGTAGCGCTTGGTTCACTGACATCATTGGCTCTGTCTGTAGAGTCTCCTGTTTCCCCTTCCTCTCCACCGCCCAGAGGTGTGGATCCCTGGCAGCAGCAACTTCGCCCAGTACCGATCTTTCTGTTAGCCAAAATAAAGTGAAGTAATGAAAAGTTACATTCGAGCAATAAGAAAACCGCACCACACAGGATGTATCATGACCCATGGCTGGGTGGGTCTCCACGGTTTCATGCAACAGCTAATGTGTGCTGAGTTTGACCGTTTCATGTGTGTTGATAGGAGCAGCACTCACAACTGGCCCATGAGCTATGGCTCTTATTAATCCTGTTTCAGAGGTGAGAAAACTGAGGCTCTGACTGGTTCTGCAACTTGCCCGAGGTTGTACAGCTGGTAGAGGTTAGCATCTGGGTAGGGCTCAGGCAAACAGGCTCTTGGAGACCATAATCCTAATTCACCAGACCAGACTGCCTCTACCAAGTCATTAAAAACATGTGAAAGATCTGTCATTAAGAGACAGGTACAAAGTGCAGAACAGTGTACCTAGCATGCTCTTATTTTCATAGAATTAGGAGGTGGAGGAACATACTAGATGCCCTTATAGATGCATAAAATGGCTCTGAGGAGGAAACACAGGACAATGGTTGACATTGGTGTCCTCTGTGGGAGAAAACATGGAGACTGGGAGTTAAGGTTGAGAACAAGGCTTGATTTTTACTAACACTTCTTCGGAACGATTTGGATTTTTTTTTCTCAGACCATGGATATATGCTGCCTTTTCTAAAACAAAATTTTTATAATCTCCTTGGGACTTCTCTGGCTCTTCAGATATTTGTCCGTTTGGAACAATATTTGATGGGGCTCACGTGTCAAGTATGAAACATCTGAGTTCCTTGCTTTCCACTTCATTTCACTCATGCCAGTGGACTCCAGTGAATAGTGCAGTGGTTTTCCATACTGCAGAACGTAGTTCCACACTTGCAAAAGAGAGTGTGTGAGAGAGAGATCAAACAAAGGACAGAAATTTGGCCAAATCTTATCCTATTTTTTTAATGTTTATTTTTTAGAGAAAGACAGAGGGTGAGGAGGGAAGTTACAGATAGAGAGGGAGACACAGAATCCAAAGCAGGCTCCAGGCTCTGAGCTGTCAGCACAGAGCCCAACATGGGGCTCGAACTCATGAATAATGAGATCATGACCTGAGCCGAAGACAGACCCTTAACTGACTGAGCCACCCTGGGGCTCCATGGCCAAATCTTATTTTTATGGTTAGTTTTGATTCAGACTTTGAAAAGAATGTGTTTACACCGTGTATGTTTGTTCACTAAGACCACCATGAAAAAGTACCACAGAACGGGCAACTTAAACAGCAGAAAAATTCTGGAGGAAAGAAGCCAGAAATCCAGGTGTCCGTAGTGTTGGTTCCTTCTAAGGCTTGTAAGGGAGGGACCTGTTACAGCCCTTTCTTCTTGACTTGTAGGGGGCCACATTCCCATGGCATTGTCCCTGTGTGCAAGTTGGTCTCCAAATATGCCCCTTTTATAAGATGGCATATTGGACTAGGGCTCACCCTAAATGACCTCATTGTAACTTGCTCAAGACAAGAGCTTCCCTCCAAATAAGGTCACATTCTGAAGCACTGGGAATTAGAACGTGAACATATGTATCCCGAGGACACAATTCAACCCATAACACTGCCATTAGCCACTCCTCCCTGCTCTCCCCTGAGCCTGGCTCAGAGAGTTCCTTGTCCTGACGTTGGGGCTGAGAGTTTGGTCTCTGGGCTCCCTATGGTGGGGAATATTGTTGATGTCATCTTTGAGAGGAAAACCCGGAGAAGGAAGAGACACCTGCGGTTTGTCCTGAGAGCAAGTGTGGTTCTCTCCCTCGTAGGTGGTACCACGGCAACCTCACGCGCCACGCGGCCGAGGCTCTTCTCCTCTCCAATGGATGTGATGGAAGCTACCTTCTGAGGGACAGCAACGAAAAGACCGGGCTGTACTCTCTCTCTGTGAGGTAGGATGTCTAAAGAACTATGAATTTGGGGCGCCTGGGTGGCTTAGTCGGTTAAGCGTCCGACTTTCGCTTAGGTCATGATCTCGCGGTTCGTGGGTTCGAGCCCCGCGTCGGGCTCTGTGCTGACTGCCAGCTCAGAGCCTGGAGCCTCTTTCGGTCTGTGACTCCCTCTCTCTCTGACCCTCCCCTGCTCACGCTGTCTCTCTCTCCTAGAAATAAATAAAAAACATAAAAAAAAAAATTAAAAAAAAAAAAAAAGAACTATGAATTCAACCTTGCTCTGTCTCTTCCTCACACGGGCATTGCTTTATCAACACACTCAAATTGCCAGATAGCGAAATCCTCCCATCTCCAGATAAAATTCTCTCAGCTCCTGTTAGACCTGAAGGTCTAAGGATTCTGAGCTCCTAATGGTGGGCTGTAAAGAAACATTTTTCCTCCTTCCCTTGGCAGGGAAGAAGAAAACGTTAGAGCCTAAGGATACTTTATGAATTGTTTAATGTCTTTCTTGACTGATGGAGAAACTGAAACCTGGAATGGCAGAGTGCCTTCACACTCAATAAATCAGCCATAGAAACAGCACTGGCATCCAAATCCCTAAAACCTGGCCCAGCACCCTGTGAACATTCATTGCTTCCTCCGGAAAATCAGAATGATTTGTGGCTGTGCAACTTTCCTTGTCACAAACTCAAGCAGGCAGTGAAGCAAAGTTTAAGTTTTTCCTGTAAACGGACCAACCTTTCTCAAGGCTCCACTTCCCCTGAATGTTAGTGGAATTAATCTAGTCCCAGGGCGCCTGGGTGGCTCAGTGGGTTGGGTGTCTGACTTCATTCAGGTCATGATCTCACGGTTGGTGAGTTCGAGTCCACCTGCTTCGGATTCTGTGTTTCCCTCTCTCTGCTTCTCTCTCTGTCTCTCCCAAAAATAAATAAACATTGAAATAAATTTTTAAAAAAAGAAATGACTCTAGTCCCTACCAGCCTAAACCAGTGATGACGCAGTCCTTTCCCCGTCTTTCTCCTCCTCTGCTTCCTCCTGGCTGGCCTCCTTAGCCGGAAGACGGCCTCGCCGTGTGATAATCAGGATGGCATCTGTCGCCTTGGCGTGCGGGCCTGTAGCAAGTCATTCTGGGTTGGCAGGGAGTTGGGAATGTGAGGAGTCCCTGAAATCGCCCTCAGCCACCCACTCATTAACCTCAAACCGCGACTGTTCTGTTCCTGTTCTGATGACGCCTCCACAAACCCCTGAGAAAAGTTCCTTCTTCCTGCGTCCTTCATGCCGATCTGCATAAGGAAGTTTTCTTTATTCTTTTCTGCCCCACGTTGTCTAGGCCTTCTTGTCGCTACCTCAGGAGCAACATCTACACTCGTTTCTCTCTGAATCCTCTTTTTCATCCAGTTTAGCAATAGTTTTTGTTTTGTTTTGTTTAATTTTTTTTTCATGTTTCTTTATTTTGAGAGGGATTGGCAGCGCATGAGCATGAGCAGCAGAGGGGCAGAGAGAGAGGGAGACACAGAATCCGAAGCAGGCTCCAGGCTCCGAGCCGTCAGCACAGAGCCTGATGCGGGGCTCCAATTCATGAACCATGAGATCATGACCTGAACTGAAGTCAGAGGCTTAACTGACTGAGCCACCCCGGCGCCCTTGTTTTGTTTTTTAAAGTGTCCTCTCCTTCTGAGAGGGGGAAAAACTGGCTATAAAAGTATTTCTCTAAATAATTGGTGGCAGGCTTCTATGAGCTCAAAAGAGAAGAATTGACATATTTTTTTAATCTTCTCTTTGGGCTTCTGGATCTACGTGTTTTCTAGGCCACATAACAAATTACCCAAACTGTAGTGGCTTTAAACAACATAAACTGATTGTCTCACAATTTCCGTATGTCAGAAGTCCCAGAGGATTCTCTGAATTCTCTGCTGGGGCTCCTACCACACCGAGATTCAGGCGCTGGCTGAGGCTGTGGTTCATCTGGGGCTCCACACGCTCTTCCTTCAGTCTCTTCTTTCTTCTTCATCCCTTTTCACTCATTTCTTTGCTGCTGTGAGGACTGAGCTCCCTGCTTTCCATCTAGCTGTTGGCCAAGGACCACTGTCAGCTTCTGGAATCCACCCACTGTTTCCTGACAAGAGGAATTCACAGGCAATTCACAGGCAATTCACAGCATGGATGTTTGCTTTCTTCTAGACCAGCTAGAGTCCTGTGACTAGCAAGGGAAACCCTTTTGCTTTTACCAAGACTTTCATGTGATTAGGTCAGGCCCACCCAGATAATCTTCCCTATTTTGAGGTCAGCTAATTTGGAGCCTCTATTATCTGCAAAGTCCCTTCATAGTAACATCTGCATTCACATTTATTGAAGAAATGGGAAAAGGTGTATGTAGTCCAGGGGCTGAGAATCTTGGGCTCCTGTGGGAATGCTGCCTGCCACACCTTCCATCCTGGGGACAGGGCAAGTCTATAAGCCGATTTTAAGGGGAGTGGACGAGACAGGTGGGAGGGGAATGGGGTAAACGAGAGGGTCACAGGTTTTTAAAAACCACATTCATTAACATTTTTCATATCACTCTGCTATATTTTGCTTTAAAATTTTCCTAAATAACATTTTGGAGAAACTATTACTCAGACATGACATTGTGCATCAGAGAAAGCAAGAATGGTGCTTTTTCCATTGATAGCAAAGGTGAAAACTTCATCAATGGGTCAGGCTGCAGGTCCTTTACTGCAGAGATCTCCCCAGAATCTCAAAGAAACATGTGGAATTGTTGGATCAAAGAATGTTAACTTTTCACCTGTATATTTTTCATTGGAACAATTAGGTCAGAAGCTTCTTCCAATTAGGTAGCATATATATATTGCATCTATATAAAAATGTAAAAAAAAAAAGAAAAGAAAGAAACCACAGGGGGCTCCTGGGTGGCTGATTTGGTTGAGCATTGGATTGTTCATCTCTGCTCAGGTCATGACCTCACAGTTCATGAGTTCACGCCCCACATTGGGCTCTGCACTGACAGCACAGAATCTGTTTGGGATTCTCTCTCCCCATCTCTCTCTGCCCCTCCCTGCTTTTTCCCTCTCTCTCTCTCTCTCTCAAAATAAGTAAATAATCTTTTTTTAAAATTATTTTTTTACTGTTTATTTATTTTTGAGAGGGGAAGAGACAGAGCATGATCAGGGGAGGGGCAGAGAGAGAGGGAGACGCAGAATCCAAAGCAGGCTCCAGGCCCTGAGCCGTCAGCACAGAGCCCGATGTAGGGCTCGAACTCGCAAACTGTGAGATCTTGACCTGAGCTGAAGTCGGGCACCAACGGACTCAGCCACCCAGGTGCCCCAATAAATAAATAATCTTAAAAAAAAAAAAAAGGCACCAGTAGAGGTGACAGCAACCACAGACCAGCTCAAAAGAATGACTGTTTTTACTCATTCATTTGTCCACTCCATTCATAATAAATATTTAAGAGCACCCCCTCTATGCCAAGCTCTTTGATAAGTCTTGCGGAAGATTCAGACTTCGCCCTTGGGAAGCACAGCTCGCAGAGCAGTAGGACGCTATACAAGCAGCTCAGGCCGGGAGGAGTGCAGTAAATGATGGGGAAGGAGCAAGGGGAGTGTGTGGGCTGTTGAGGGGAGAAAAGCAAGTAACTCAGGCTGCGAGCGTCATTCCATACTTGTCCGAGCAGGTGTATTTGGGCTGACATTTGCTCAGAAACAAAGGGGCCGATGTTGCAGACGAAGGGGAGTGCAGGAGCTAGGGCACAACAGCAGAGACCGAGAGAATTGTAGGTCCGGTTGGATCAGGGCAGCCGTCTTCAGGGTGTGGTCCCCACACCAGCGGCACCACTGGCGTCACCGGACAACGTGCTAGGAATGCAAATTCTTGGGCCCCACAGCCTGGACCCACCAAATCAGGAAATTCAGGGAGCGAGGCCCGGAAATCGGAGTTTTAGCGAGCCCTCCGGGTGATTCCGATTTCTGATGTGTGCTAACATTGGAACAGGACTTACACAGAGAGAAGAGGAACAGTGGGAATCAAATAATACCTATCATTTGGGAGCACCTGGAATGCTCTGTCGGCTAAGCACCTGACTCTTGATTTTGGCTCAGGTCGATCTCACAGTTTTGTGAGTTCAAGCCCCGGGTCTGGCTCTGCACTGATAGTGCGGAGCCTGCTTGGGATTCTCTCTCTCTACCCCTCCCCTGCTCATGCAATCTTTCTCTCTCTCTCTCAGAATAAATAAATACACTTAAAAAAATTTTAATCCCAGCGCTTTCAAGAATTGTGTTGTAATTCTCAGTTTTTAGAAGGGTTTAATGATGATGCTCATGTTCAATGTTATAGTTCCCTTCAAAAAAAAGAGAATTCATTTCTTAAATAAACTTAAGCTTTCTTTTTCCTTTTCAGAGCCAAAGACTCTGTCAAACACTTTCATGTTGAATATACTGGATATTCATTTAAATTTGGCTTTAATGAATTTTCATGTTTGAAGGATTTTGTCAAGCATTTTGCAAATCAGCCTTTGATTGGAAGTGAGACAGGTAAGCGACAACAGATAGATACTTGACTTATGAGACATGGTTTCAGGATGGAGGAAGGACAGGGAGGATTTCGTTAAATAGTTGTCACTTCTGTTGGGTTATGTGCATATGATATGCAATTAGATATGTTTAGAAACAACTTTTTCCAATTACTGTGCTGTACGCTACGTTAATAAATTTTATCTATATCTCTATCTACATATCGGTATTATCTTTAGGAGAAAACAACGTACTTTCAACAAAATAGATAGTTTTCTGGAATGTGTTAGAATAATGGTTTGATTTAAAGTACACAACTTTTTAAAAAGTCTGTTCATTTTATAAAAATATATACAGTACACAAAGAAAGAAGAAGGGCTAGAACAGCTTTCTGATTCCTCATAATTTTAGATATGGATGGTTTACATTTGGGGAACACCCATAAAAGATAATGTTGAGCATTTTTTAATACAGAATGCATACTTAAATTTTCACAAAGATCACTGAATATTAAAAATATTGACTAGAAATTGCTCTTCGGAGCCTTTATTACATCATAAAATCCTGTTTCTCTTGTTTCGGTTTTTCTAAGTGTTTAGCTGGAATTAAATATGGATGGAAAAATTTGAATTTCCCCGTGCGAGTGGTTCCAGTCCAACTAGAATATTCAAGTTAAAAAAAACAAAGACACACTACCTAGGATTCTCTAATGTGTTTCTCTGTACCAATTAAACAAAGTAAGCAAAAGTTCACCCACGTATCTGTGATACAGAATCACAATTTTATGTGGCCTAAATGATGATTATTCTCGGGTAATCAAAAGTTGGGTGATTGCAGAACTTATGGCAGAAGAGGAACTCAAGACTTAACAGTACAGCTGTTTTACTGTGAATTTTATACTTGTTTTCTTGGTAAACTTGGCCAGTGGGCTTTTTGTTATCTTCAGTGTGGTGGGAGAGAGGCCCCACCGGTCTTTTCCTTTTCTGCTGTTTCTGTGGCCTGGATAGACCTTGATATGAATCACACAGTATCGAGTGAAGATGAAAAGCACAGTGGAAACACAGAGTAGTCGCCTTACTTTATACTGACTGTGTAAGACCTATACTAGAATATTCCAAACTGCAAAATTGAAGCTATAAGTTTTTTTTTCTGGTGGAAATCTTTCTGGTCGGCCCTGAAAACTCCTTCACCATTTAAGCAGCAGTAGTTCACCTAAACAAATGACAAGTGGGCATGCGTTATTTATTTCCACTGCTACTTTGGTTTTGGCAAGCATTTCAGTTTCTCAAATCCCTTCGCTTCAAACTTACCTCCTACTTGTTTCCAACCCTATACTCGATTTTGTTCACTTCTTGGTCATGAGAAATTGAGAAGAGATTTTGAAGCTAAAAACTTTGTCTACCCCTTCTTGTGTCCTCTATGTCCCCCAGGTCCCGATACAGTGCATGACACTTTCGGTGAGGGGTGGATGGGTGGATGGATGATGATTATGGGCAGGAATTCTTTGTAGCCTCAAAGCCATGATAAGTGTTATCTTCCAGCCTTTTTTCTTCCTCTAAGCAATGTCAGCTTCCTTCTTTTGAACTCTCCTCCTAGACTCTATATTTAATCCTTTGATCATTCTCTGTGCTCCTTCCTGGACCTTCTCCAAGTTAGGGAAAAGGTACACATTCTGCCCACCAAAGGGTTTCAAAAAATTTCAAGGTCAAAGTGAATGTAGTGGTTTCTGGGTGAGCCTTCTGGCACAGATCCAGTCTCTAGGCAAGAGGATCACCTAAGACTTCTTCAAAGTCAAGCCTCCTTGACATTGGATTTAAGACAATGTTAAATTTCCTTGCAAGTACAGTAATCCAACTAAAAAAGTTTTACTATTAATCCTTCGGGATATTGAAAATCTGTAATCCTGACCCCTATGGTAGTTTTATCCAAAACTAAAGTGTGTTGTATCATTATCATTACTATAATCATGTATTATAATAAAACTCAGCAAACTAAGATTTTTATCCTCTGTAGTGCATCTTCTCTGTTCTATTCATTATCCCACAGGGAATTTGCTATTATTTGAATCCCATGCTACAGGCTCTGGATGCTTGTGGATATGTACTTGGCTTCCTAGCTTCTGGGCCTGGAGTTAGAGTCCACCAACTCTGAAACATTCCTCTTATCTGTCCCAGCCAGATGAAGGCAAAGCCCCTGAGGCCGGGTACAAGGGGGAAAACCCATGACAAACGAGTGTTTAGTGTTGCCCCTCTGGAAGGAATAGGCCTCAGGAAACAAGATAGCATGCTAAAGTCACGCTGACTCTTAAGCCCAGCAGATTTTCAGAAGCCACAATCAGCACTATGGCTTGTGAACAACAGTGAATGGAAACGAGGATGCCACCTTCTAAAAATAGGTCCTGTCTTGTCCCTTTGAGTTTTGGCTCCTGGCATTGATCAGGAGGCCTCCAGGCTGACGATTTCTTAGTCGCCATCAGACGAAGGGCAAATTCTTGAAGTTTTTGTCCAATTAAAGATTACCAGGGAAGCATTTGCCTGTGCAATGGCCGAGGCCTGCCAGGGTTCTTACCTCCAGATCCTAGAATGGAAAGGACTAGAACTGGGGATTTCAGGCCACTCCTTTTAGCCCAGGCCCCCGTCAGGCCAGTGTCACGTTGCAGGGCCTGGAGAGTGAGTTTATTTAAAAGAGACTTTCCCCCATGTTTCCACTGGCAGGGATGGCATTACATCCAAGGGCAAAGGGCAGGACCTCCAAATAACCAATAGCTTTATACTTCACCTTACAGTTAAATAAAATGTAGAGGAAATCCCAGAACACTTGGTTCTGGGTTGTAAGAAAATCTTTATATTCCGTACAGGTAAAGGTGTTAACCTAAAGGAAAAAATACTATTTTAAGATCTCTTTTTTCCTATTCTATTCCTATTCTCTACTCTTCAAATTCTCAGGCTTTCTCTTTCCTTAATCTGAAGAATGAAGATTTCCTAAGCAAGAGCTCAGCCTTCTGACAACCTGAATGTTCTGTTAGTATCATTTCCCTTTCCCTTGCTATAATCTGCACTTAACCGCTCCAATCTCCATGAAAGTTTTTGTTCACTCTAATTTCCCCTTATTAACACCCATAAACACTCGTTAGAGGTTTCTGATTGTCAAATCCCAATCACTTCCCAAGTATATCACAGAGACATTCGGCATGCTCTCTTCCTTTACTTTCCTCAGTGGCTCTTTTATCTTCTAACATTTTGTTTAATTCACTTTTTTAAAAAATTTGGTTTACTGTTTATTTTTGAGAGGGAAAGAGAAACAGAGTGCAAGTGGGGGCGGGGCAGGGAGTGAGGGAGACATGGAATTCGAAGCAGGCTCTAGGCTCTGAGCTGTTAGCACAGAGTCCAATGTGGGCCTTGAATTCACAAACCAGGAGATCATGAACTGAGCCACCCAGGTGCCCCAGAATTTGACTTTCATTTGTAATAATAACCTGCAATATAAAACTTTTCTTCCTACTTGTACATGACTTCTAAATTCCACTCAAATAGACTTGGAAATTTGAGACTTTTTTATTAGCATGGATGCGTTTGGTCCATTATTAATTTTTACTGTACCCTCTTGTAATTAGCTAGGTTTCATACATATATATTCTTTAAATGTAGCCAGCATTTATCTTTATCCTTAAATGTCCTAATGCTATTAGAACAAAAATCACCTTTCCTACTACCTTGTGTTTCTATTAGAATACTTCTGTATATGAAATTGTCATATATAATTTATTATAGGAATTACTGTGTTGTGACTTTAAACACCTACTCAGCATGAAAAAGTATGACATAAATCAAATGCTAAGTTTGTACTTACCCTTTATAATAATCAGTTCTCAGTTTTGAGGATCCTAACTGGTTCTTCGTAAATGTCAGATTTCCACTTCTCTTTTTGTTTTGACGTGGGGACTCCCAACCTCTTGATAACTGCTGTAGTTATTATTAATTTATTTGGTAACACCAGCCTTTTTACTCAAGTGGCATTTTAAAATAATTAAGTTAAAACTCATTGCAGCTTGAGAACTGTGTGCCATTTCTGAAAATAATTGATGACAATTCAGAGTTCCGCCAAACCACAGCCAAGAATCACTCCTTTAGCTTATGCTTGCCAAAAACAGCAAGTTTTCTTCGTTTGTCATAAGGTGTGTTTGCAAAAGGAAAAGGCAGGCAGGGAAGGGAATACGGAAGCGACACGTATGGAGTGCTTCCCGAGGTCTGAGCTTTCCATGGGATGTTTTCACAGGTATCAAGTTATTGAATCTCCTGAACCGATCGCGGTAATGTGAAAGTGGTCCCAATTTTAGATGAGGAAACAAAAACGTAGACATGTTACCTTATTTGGCCAGCTTGGCACAGCCAGCTAGCATCAGAGCTGAGAGTGAAATCCGAGCCAACCCGGTTCTCAAGCCTAGGGGCTTTCCTTTCACCTCACTGTGTCCTGACCCTGGTCTACCACCGACACAGCAGCACGGCATCGCCACAGCACAGCGTGACCTTGGGTGGGTTTGGCTGGGAAGATCCCTGCCACAGGATGTTTGTAGGACAGCACAGGGCTATCCCGCGGTCTCTTCTTTAAGGTCTATAACAGTATTCTTGGTATGTGATGTAAAGGCATTGTTGTAAAGAACGTGAATCAATTTGAACTTCTGTCTTTGTATTTACCGCTGTTCCTGTGTTATTTACATGAATTGCCACTTGGGAAGTTATCTTGGAGGACATCTTAAAACATAAAAAGGCTGACTAGAAAAACATACATATGCCCATTGCACCTATGTCTTTCCAGAAAAGATATAAGGCAGCCTATGTAAATATAATACGGTAAAAGAAAATGTAAAGCTTGGGGCGCCTGTGTGGCTCAGTCGGTTGGGCGTCCAACTTCGGCTCAGGTCGTGATCTCACACTTCCTGAGTTTGAGCCCCGTACCCGGCTCTCTGCTGTCAGCGTGAAGCTCCCACATTCCTCTGTCTCCCCCGCTCTCTCTGCCCCTCC